CCCTGTCCGCGCGGTAATGGCCGCTCCCGCTCCCATTTGTCTCATCAGCTTCGCGCACACCTACAACCAGACCGGCCTGAGGGTGGTCCTTACCAGTGTTATGGGTGGCCTCCCTTACCTCAGGGGGAACAGAAGGTTCTGGAGCTTCCTGATCCTCAGGGCCTGGGTAAGCCTGGGCAGCGGAGCTGCTCCGTAAAGCGTTCCTCTCGTGGCCCCAGTCCCCCCGCTCCCTGTGCTAGTCTCGCCTGCTCCACCCACTTCTGCCTGGTCCCAGAGGCCTCTGGGTTGAGATTGGGATTGCTGACCGGGCACGGACCCTCGGGTGCCTTGCCTGCTCCACACCTGCTCCACACCTTCCTCCGGTTCCTCACTCACCTGCCAGGGCAGGGGACGCTTGTCCTGAGCAGCATTCCCGACCCCCGACCCGTCCGCCCACCGGCAGTGGATTGCCCCCCACCCCTCAGCCTGTCCTTGGGGGCACTTGCCTCTACCTCCTGCCCTCCTCTCTGGACCAGGTCCCAGAGCCCCGTTCCTGCGGGAGATGCCCTTGTTCACCCGCCTTACCGACTTCCCCTCACACCCCACTCACCCACAGGGCTGACCACCAGCCCCCCAGGTGGTCCTCACGCTCCCCTTCCTCTCACAGGTGTCCCCCCCCCAGGGACGGGGGCGCAAGCTGTCCGGGCTGCTGCTGCTGGCGCTGCTGCTAGACTGGGGCCTGCACCTCCTCCAGTGACGCGCTGCTGGCCAGCGCGGGGCGGGCTGGCCCCTCCCCCCCACCACCCTGGAGGTGGTCTTGTTGGTTTTGTCTTTTTAACTGTTTTCTTATGATCCCTTTTTTATATTTAAATTCCGAGTGCTGGGACACTCCTGAGGTTTCATACGTGTTTTTCTGGTTTGTTTTTTGTAAGAGAAATGAATTATACCTCTGGGATCTTCATGGCTAACTGTCCTCCTGGCCCCAGGAGCCATCCTCTCCTGTGGGCCATGCAGCAGGCGCTGGGGGAGTGCTGGTCACACCCTGTCTGTGATGCCCGCAGCAGAATCTGCTGGAGTAGATTTTGAGGGGTGAGGAGAGTCAATAAAATGTTGGTTTCCATTCGTCTCTGGTCCTCTCTGGGTTTGCAGCGTGAGCTCCATCTTGCCCTTTGGAGGGAGATGATGCGGGGGGGGGGGGGGGAGCATGGCCCAGCCACTTGCCTGCGTCACAGCCTTGAGCTCCCCCCACACCCTAGTGCTGCGTGGGCCCCAAAGCACCGGTTCACTCCGCCCCTCATGTCTTGGTGCCTGAAATCGACCATAGGGATTCTTTCCTTGGGCTGCCTGCCCTCCCGCGTGTGCTCACCCAGCCCTGCCTGCGGGCGTGGTGCAGCCTCTGAGCACGCACAGGAGGGGGGGCTGGGCAGGGGCACCAGGATTCCCACAGGTCAGAAAGGTGCCCCTTTCCTCGTTAAAACCAGCTTCAGTCAGAGTCCATGACGGCCTCAGAAATCACTCTTCAAACCCCAAAAGGAAGGACCAGTGGCCTGTTCCTCCCAGGCAGGGCGCGGGATTCCTAAGGAATCTGCACAGTGCTCCCCTCACCCCCACAGCAGCTCTCTCCAGCAGGCTGGGCTCGCCCAGGGTGGACACGACCCCACTCCCCGGGGACCTGAGGCAGAGGCTGCCGGGGCAGTGAAGCTCCTCCCAGAGCAGGTACCAGGCTGTGGGGCCAGGAGGGGTCCTGTCATCTTCCATTTCGGGGGCCTTTGAACATGAACATGGCCCTGGTCTGGTCAGGATTCCTGGAGATGAGGCGAGGTGGAGGCTCAGAAGGGTGCCCGGGGCACCCTGCTCCTGCCAGGGCAGGAGGGCAGCACCCAATCCAGGCAGACCAGGGAGCCAGGGCTCACCACTGACAGGGCACCCAAAGATGGAGGGACCCCCTGCACAGAGGGTGTTGATGTCCCCAGGGAGGAGGACTGGCCGCCAGCCCTTTAAGGGGAGTATGTGGGCCCCCGAGACTCGGCTCCTCCACAACTCCCTCCCTGTCTCCTCCAGATTCAGTTGGCAGGGGCAGGGTGAGGGCCCACCCATCCACCCCAACCCAGGGCTCCTGGTGGAGGTTCTCGCCACACCCTCGGGGTCCCTCTGGTGCCACTGCCTCTCGCTGGCTGTCCCGGCTCCTCCTGTAGCTTGGAGCATGCGCAGACCCAGGGCACCCTTCTGGAGGAGCAGCAGGCCTGCCACACCCGCTGTCCCCCACGCACCCCGCTCCCTCACTCGGGACTTCTGGGGCTGAGGGACCTCGGACACCTCCCTGCCGGCAGCGCAGCCCGCCCAGGAGCTGGTCTGACCGAGTTGCTCAGCACTCTGCAAAGGGGATTCCAGCAGAACTGGCGATCACTTACAATAATAACAAAGTTCTTTGCCCGGCCGGCGTGGCCCAGTGGTTGAGCGTCAGCCTATGAACCAGCAGGTCATGGTTCGATTCCCGGTCAAGGCACATGCCCGGGTTGCGGGCTCGATCCCCAGTGTGGGGCATGCAGGAGGCAGCCGATCCATGATTCATCACTGATGTTTCTATTTCCCTCTCCCTTCCTCTCTGAAATCAATAAAAATATATTTTAAAAAAACAAAAAACAGTTCTTCAAGGAGTGCCTGGACAGTGGGCATATCCGCAGTGGCTCTCGGCCAGGGCTGTGGAGACGGTGTGTTTGGGGGTCACAGTGGCCAGGAGCCGGCACAGCTGCCCGCAGCAGGGGTTCCCGCAGGGGAGGCTGGTTCTACCCGGAGGCCAGCAGGGCCCTGCTGAGAAACACTGGAGTTAACACCAGAAGCCCACCCAGGATTTGAAGAGTCAGCACATCAGCAGCATCTGAAGACAGACGCACGCTTCACTCCCAGGAAGGCCTGCCCACTGTCTGATCAATGAAAACCCCAAGGAGAGAACCGAGGTGGCAGCGTAGGTAAACGCCGGTCCGGTACCCCTGCCTCCCACACCGCATCAGCATTACAACTCAAACCACCACCATCGCCTGAAAGCCGGCTGAATGGAAGTCCTACGAGAAAGCCCGCTGGTCGGAGGGGCAGAGGAACGGACAGGCCGGACCGGCACCCACGCGTGCCCCTTCTTTAATCAGGAGGGAGAGGGTCTCTGTGGAGGCCCCCCGTGAGGAGCAGCGGTCCCAGCCCCACAGCCCAGGCTCCCAGAGCTGGGAAGGTAAGTCCCCGTAACACAGGCTGTGAACACCAGCAGGGATTGGGGCTCAGTGACAGAGGCTGCTGGAGACCCAGCTGTTCCTCTTAAAGGGCCAGCGCATGCACTGAACTTACAAGGTCCTGCTTCCTCTGAGCTCCAGCGCCGGGGTTAAGGCGCTGGGGGACCCAGACATACAGGGAGGAACTGGATTGTCTGGCACCAGGGCAGAAACTAGAACCAGTAGACAGCTTCAGATCATACCAGATTACAACTTTACACAAGCAACACACTCAAAGAGCAGACACAGTGAGCACCAAAGCCCCACTGAAGCATAGGGGTGTGCTGCTCCATAGGGGTGTCTCCTGCATAGCAGCTCTCCCACTGTAGGGCAGCTGGTCCTCACAGCCAATTGGCCTGGAGATCAGTTCCTCCCAGGGGCACCAACAGCAATCAAGGTTCAACTACGGCAAGACTCAGCAGTCTTCACATAACCAGCATAGCTGTCCCTTCCCCAGCATCCAAACATGCCTAGAGGAGAAATGGACTGTGTTGTATAAATACTCACTTTATGTGCTTTACATGGCGTCACACAGTCCCTCCCCATCACTGGCGGCGGAGGCTGGACAGGAAGCAGCAGGAACAGCCTCCTCTGGGGAGGCCAGGCTGGCTCAGCCCCCGCCGCCCCCACCGCACCTCACCCCACCCCGTGGTCATCGGAGACCCTACAGGTCCTCGTCCGCGGCCTCGTCGGCCTCGAGCACTTCCACGTGGCTGTAGGACTTCCAGGCCTGCAGGTTGCAGCTCCTCAGGATGGCGCCCAGCTGCTTCCCGGGCCCCACCTCGAAGGTCCTGGGGAAGTCGGAGCCCTTCTTCCTCTCGTACAAGGCGTGCATCGTCTGCTCCCACTTCACCGGGGAGACCACCTGCTTCACCAGCAGCTGCTGGATGTGCTTAGGGTGCATGTACCTGCTCCCGCTGACGTTGGCGTGCACGGAGACCAGGGGCATCTTCACGTCGATGGCCTTGAGGACCTGCGCCAGGGGCTCCACGGCGGGCTCCATGAGGCGGGTGTGGAAGGCCCCGCTGACCGGCAGCATCTTGGTGCGTCTGAAGTGGTACTTGGAGGAATTCTTCTGGAGAAATTGCAGAGCCTGCAAGGAAAAGGGTGGAGCGGTAAGCCAAGCAAAGCTCAGGGGAAGACACAGCAGCCAGCACGGCTCCGTCACAGCCCCGTGTCCAGAACATGCTCATCCACACCTCCCACACCTCCTCCTGCAACCACAGGGGTGACGGCTCTATTCACCTCATTCGTTAGAGCGGCTCCTGAGTCCCTGCCCCAGGGGGCCTCCTCCAGGACCTGACCATTCACCGGTCGCCCAGGCAGCCGACCACAGTGTGGCTGAGAGATCTGAGGCTGGAACCGTGGGATCTGGGTCCCATCTCAGCACTGTCATTCACTAGCTTGGTGGCCCCAGGCAAACCACTCGGCCTCTGAACTTCTCATTCCATCCCCAAAAAGCACAATTTCATCTACTTTAAAAGGTTGCTGGGAAGTGATCAGATCGGAGGGGTGTGACAGAGTCTGATAACAAAAGAGCACTATGTAGCCCTGGCCGGAGTGGCTGCTGGTTGAGCACAGCCCTGTGCACTGAAAGGTTGCCAGTTCGATTCCCGGTCAGGGCCCAGGCCCAGGTTGTGGGCTCGATCCCCAGTGGGGGGTGTGCAGGAGGCAGCCGATCAATGATTCTCTCTCATCATTGATGTTTCTATCTCCTTCTCCCTCCCTCTCTGAAATCAATGAAAATATTTGAAAATAAAAATCAACATAAAATACTTAAAAGAAAACATTTTGAAATGCACTGTTTAATGCAGCGGTCACCAACCTTTCGGACCTCACGGACCACCAGTTGGCGACCGCTGCTCCAGAGGTTTCCTTAAACCAGCCGTCGCCAACCTTTCGGACCTCATGGACCACCAGTGGTCTGCAGGCCGCTGGTTGGCAACTGCAGGTCTAATGTGTCCATTTTCAATCGAATTCCGCTACCCCTCGTCATGTTTACCAGGGCCTGTTCTCACGTTACTAAGGAACCTCCAACATGAAAACCCAGGAGGCTCCCAGCTCATTTCCCAGCGCAGGGTCTTCCCGGGGCCCCTCCTCCGGGCTTCCCTGCGGAAGAAGAGAGCTCTCCTCCGGAAGCCCATCCTGATCCGAGGCCAACAGGCCTAAACCAGGAGCTGCTTGCTAACAACATAACTTCCAAATGTCTCCAACAATAGATTTTTTTTTAATATATTTTATTGATTTTTTACAGAGAGGAAGGGAGAGGGATAGAGAGTTAGAAACATCGATGAGAGAGAAACATCGATCAGCCGCCTCCTGCACATCTCCTACTGGGGATGTGCCCGCAACCCAGGTATATGCCCTTGACCGGAATCGAACCTGGGACCTTTCAGTCCACAGGCCGACGCTCTATCCACTGAGCCAAACCGGTTTCGGCAACAATAGATATTCTTAAGAGACGCTTTGCTCTCAGGACATGGCCCAGGGCCGCACTCCACTGGGACCTGTGCCCTAAACAGTCTGCCATTCCCCCCAAAGCCAACACCATCCACAGCCTGCTCCCCCCAACCCGACACCATCAGGGCCTGCTCAGAGCCTGGGCCAGCTGCTCCCTGGAAGACTAAGTTACGCCTCAAAAAGGTCATGGCAGTTGCATGGTCTTGGGCGATTTTACTTCACCTCTTGTGCCTCAGTTTCCTCCTCTCTAAAATGGGGTACCGGCAGGAGTTATAGGGCGGTTAAGGAGAACTACGCTTGGCAAACAAGTGCTATTTAAGGGTTAGCAGTCATTCTCTGGAATACCAAGCCCATCCATGCCCACCGGGGAACTTTGTAACAGGGGACCTAGTGTGTGCCCCCACAGGAGGTGGCTTACTGTTTTGGGTGGCATGGCACCTCTGGGGGCCCCTCCCTGCAGGGGTGTATCCTGGCCGCCCAGGCGTGGCCAGGGCAGCCCTCGGCCCTCCTGTCACTCACTCTCCCATGCTGTTTGTCAATGTCCCACACAGAGGCTGCCCCAAGCAGCTTGAACCCCGGGGCAGGTGCCAGGTAGAGCCCAGCCCAGCATCACCCAGCACACCTTACCCGGGTGGGGACCTCACCTGCGGGGACTGCTGAGGGGTTCGGGCTGTCACTGCGGCAGAACCCAGCTGGCCCTGCCTGCCCTGGGGCCTCACGTCCGTCACCCCATCTCCCGGAGGGCCGTGCCCCAGCAGCCTCTGCACGGAGGCCTGTTGGCTCCATGCTGGGCCTCCCACCACGCAGGACTGTGACACAGCATCCTGCGTGGACCCTGCATCACTGCAGTGGGTCCCCTAGTGCTTTCCATGGAGCCTCCCACTCCTCCACCTCGAGTCCCAGGTGGGGCCCAGGTGGGGCCCAGCAGGCTCCCCTGTGGCTGGCGCTCAGTCAGCGGGTCCAGCGGAGGCGCCGAGTGTTTACATCCTGGGGGGAAGACCCCGGCACTTCCCACAGAACCGAAAGGCCACACCAGGGACCCCGGGGGCCACTGGACGATGCCCCCCTGCCCGGGAGCCTGCGAGGGAGAGCCTGCCGGCTGGGGCCCGCCTGGCCCACCCTGCGCTTCGCCCCACGGCTGGGAACGAGCAGCCAGCTTCATGACGACGCGGGGGCCACTGTAGCTGGTCTCCTCACCATCTTGTCACAGAGGGGCCTGCTGGCTCTCGCTGACTCGGGAGAGACAGGACACCCGGCTGCTGGCAAGGCCTTAGAGCAGCGGTTCTCAACCTGTGGGTCGTGACCCCTTTGGGGGTCTAATGACCCTTTCACAGGGGTCACCTAAGACCATCAGAAAACACATTTATAATTACATATTGTTTTTGTGATTAATCACTATGCTTTAATTATGTTCAATTTGTAACAACGAAATTGGGGGTCACCACAACATGAGGAACTGTATTAAAGGGTCGCGGCGTTAGGAAGGTTGAGAACCACTGGCTTAGAGGGAGCACTGAGCAGCCAAGTGCAGGAAAGCACTCGAGTGAGACCGGCCTCAGCCCCGGTTCTGCCTCCCTCGCCTCCCTCACTTGCCCTCTGCCTCCACTTCCTCGTGTGTGAAGCTGAGCCCAGACGCCCTGCCGCAGGGCAAGACCGGCTGGGAGGACCAGACAAGGCGTGTGAACAGCGCCCTGCGCCCCAGCCCTCCCTCGGGTTCCCGTCTGCACTCAGCCTGAGGCGGGCGGGCGGGCACCCTCCCTGGCATCCATCTCCTCCAGGCACCGCCGCAGGCCCACTAGTGGACAGCCCGGCCCTTACTGTGCCCTGAAACCTGGCTCATCCGCTCCCGGCGGCCTCCCTTCAATGGCAGGAACCCGGCTTATCAGCCATGGGGCCCTCAGCGCCTGTTACGGAGGAGCTGCTGGGAAGTGCCGTGGGGGGAAGCGGCAAATGGAGGGACGTGCAGGATTAACTCGGTGCAGAAGCAGACATCTGGGAGCAAGCAGGGCGGGCGGAGCAGCCCAACAGGAGACGGCTCTCCCCGCTCTAAGGAGGCAGCACAGCAAGGCTGTGAGAAGCCCAGAATGTTCTATAGGGAGGCCCTGGAGACCATCTGGCCAGCCCTTTACGACTCAGGTGGGCTGGCGGTCCCTGCCTGTCCGTGTGAGGCGGGGATGGCACCCAGCCTTCGGCCTCCTCTGCATCGCTCACTGCCCACGCTCCCGGCCCTCACCTACTTCCCAAGACCACGGCTGGGCAGAGCGCCCGCCGCGCCGCTGGGGCTCACGGGGTGGAAGAGCCCCGCCTCTGCCCGGGACTAGGTCTGGGAGGCTTCCCGTCAACACCAACCTCCAGGTGTCCCGAGATCACCCTGCAGTCCGGGAAGAGGTAGTTGGCCACCTCACACACGGGGTCCTCTATGCCCAGGGTCTTGCAGTGCTCCCGGGCTTCCAGACAGGCGAACGTGAACTTGGTCTGGGGCCGGCCGAGGACGGACAGCATCCCGCTGGGGACGGCTTCCGAGGCTTCCTGCATCGCCTCCGCCCGGACCTTCACCGCATACAGACCTGGCCGGAGAGAAGTGCGTTGGGAAATCAGTGCACGTAAGGAGGGAAGCTCAGGCTGTGGGACACGGCACAGCTCTGCACGGCGTGCCGAGGCACTGACGTCGGCATGTCCCCGGCCACACGGCCGTCGTTCTGTCTGCGTCTACCAGAGATGTGCCACTGCCACCAGGAAGCAGTGCTGTCCTCGGCCAGCACAGATGGACCCACAGAGCTCCCGCCTGGAGGCTGGCTTGGTGTCAGGTCTGACCAGGGTGATCTTGCCCCCAGGGCAGTGTCTGGAGGCATTTTTTCATTGTCACCCTGGGGGGAGAGGGGTGCTGCTGGCAACTGGTGGGCAGAGGCCAGGGATGCTACTCAACATGCAGAGCACCCCCAAAGCAAACAATGATCTGTCCAAAGTGCCAACAGTGCTGCCGCCGAGACCCTGAGACCCTGGTGTGCGGTCAAGGCAGGTGCTCGGGGCACGCTGCTTGGGCAAGTCGTGGTCTCCTTCCACGTCAAGTTTTTAGTCAGTACAATGAGGATAATAGCCTGTCTCTGCCTGGACTGCTGTGAAAAGTCAGGAGTGTTATTAATTACTTTATTACTTAAGAGAAATCTTGTTGAAGAGGAAAACAGGAGCCAGCAGGTATTTGGAAAAATGTACAAACTACAAACAATTACAAGAGTTTCAATAACGTAATTATTATAAATCAGGCACCACCGCCCTCACTCAGAGCAGCACGATCGAGAGCACAGGCTCCTGGTTCCGTGGCTCAAGAGAGGGGAGAGGACAGGGCTGGACCCAGGTAGGCAGTGCCAATGGTCATGACCCAGGAACGACCTGTACCTACTGTCCCTGACCAGACCGAGGGGCCAGTCCTGGGTTGGATGGGACAGCAGAGAAGCCTGAGGAGCGAGTCCTGCACTGTCTCTCCAACATCCTCATTCACTTGGTACCGACATATGTTTGCACTGAGCTCTTAGCCCCGTACTGGCAGCGAATGCATAAGAGCCTGTAGTGGGACATAGCAGAGGACACACACGAGAGAGAACATGGGACATCCTCCCATGCAGGCATTCAGGAAGTAGCTGTGCAAAACGTCAAGTGAGAAAACTGAACACAGAATGTACACCTGCTATAATTCTGAAAATCACTCACGCATAAAACTATGCACGTACAAGAGAGTTTTATTAGCAGGTAGGAAATATGAAACCTTTTCATTTCCTTAATAGTGCTATATATTTTTAAAACACTGAGGTGAGCCCTAGCCGGTCTGGCTCAGTGGATAGAGCGTTGGCCTGCGAACTGAAAGGTCCCAGGTTTGATTCTGGTAAAGGGCACACGCCTGAGTTGTGGGCTCGATCCCCATTGGAGGACTTGCAGGAGGCAGCCGATCCACCATGACTCTCTCTCATCCCGGATGTTTCTATCTCTCTCTCCCTCTTCCTTCCTCTCTGAAATCAATAAAAATATATTAAAAAAAATAATAATAAAAATAATAAATAAAACACAGGTGAAATTCACAAAAAATATAAGCAGTTTCAAGTGTACAAGGCAGTGGTACTTGTATTCATGCTGTGCAACGTTTCAAAACTGTCCACACCCCATAAAGCTGTCCACTATCCCACCTGCTGAGGGTAATCACTCCGTTTCTCCTTCCCTCCACCCCAGCAACCACTAATCTGTAGTCTCTGGACATTTCATTTGCCAGCATCACACAGTCTGTGCCCGCTTGGCTCCTCACTGAGCATCTGTTTGAGGTTCATCCATGTTGCAGCCTGTCGATGCTTCACCCCTCTTCACTCCTGACTAATATTCCACCACGGACACATGATTAGCTTTTCCGCTCATCTGACGACGGACATTTGCACTGCTTCCGCCTTTGGCTATTACACACACCTGTGTACGCGTTTTCCTGGGTGGACATGCTTCCATCTTAGGTACAGACCTCCGGGAACAACTCCTGGCTCACAGGTGATTCTATGCTCCGCTTTCTGAGGGAGCACCACGCTCTCCACAGCGGCTGCACATTTCACACCGTCACCAGCACCGTGGAAGGTTCCTATTTTCTACACTCTTGCCAACACTGACTATTTTCCTTTTTGTTACTGATGTTTTAAATTAAAGCCATCCTAGTGGAGCCCTAGCCGGTTTGGCTCAGTGGATAGGGTGTCAGCCTGCGGACTGAAGACTCCCAGGTTTGATTTTGGTCAAGGTCACATGCCCAGGTTGTAGGCTCAATCCCCAGTGGGGGGCGTGCAGGAGGTAGCCGTTCAATGATTCTCTCTCATCATTGATGTTTCTATCTCTCTCTCCCTTCCTTTCTGAAATCAATAAAAATATATTAAAATAAAATAAAATAAATGAAAAATAAATTTAAAAAAAGCCATCCTGGTAGATGTGAAGTAGTATCTCATGTGGTTTGTTGTTTTATTAAAATATGCTTTTATTGATTTCAGAGAGGAAGGGAGAGGGAGAGATAGAGATATCAATGATGAGAGAGAATCATTGATTGGCTGCCTCCTGCACGCCCCCTAAAGGGATTGAGCCCGAAAACCAAGCATGTGCCCTGACTCAGAATCAAACTGTGAACTCCTGGTTCATGGGTCCATGCTCAACAGCCGAGCACACCAGCCGGGCTCATGGTGGTTTCGATGTGCATTTCCCTAATGATGAGCAATGTGGCACATCTTCTCATGTGCTAATTGGCCATTGTGTATCTTTGGAAAAATGTCTATTCAAGTCCTTTGCCAGGGCTCCTCACTCAGATTCCTGTCTGCACTGAGCATGCCCCAAGCCAGGTACCCAGGCCAGAGGGGCCAACTGCAAACAAACACTCTTACGCTGCCGTGCAACTCTATGCAAACTCTTAACTCTATGCAAAACTCTTACGAAGTGAAACTCAAGATCAAACATCCACTTCCTCCTTTCCATTCAGTGAACTGCACTGAGTGTCTGCAGGTGACAGGCACTGAAGGCGTGCGGTGGACCGAGAATGCACAGGACAGCGGAGAGGACGGTCAAGCACGCAGATCCCATGAGATCACAGAAGAAAGGAAAACGCGATGAGCTCTCCCAGCGTGAGAGAATCAGGTGCCGTATGGGCCTCGTTCCATGGCATCCCTATCTATATGCCCCTCTAGCTCCCTCGTGGGTGCAGAGTTGTTGCTGGCAATGTCCCTTCTCTCCAGTGAGCCCAGCAAGACGACACCCCTGCGCCACACCAAAGCCCTCTCTGGTACCTTCAGAGAATTCCATGGCTCCGGCAAACACTAGGGCTGCGAATTCTCCCACACTGAAGCCAGCGGCGGCGACACAGCTCTCAATAACCTGCGGTGATAGATGCAGAACGTGAGGCCTGTTCTCGGGACAGTCGGGCTCTGCTCTGGAGAGCTGGCGGGGGCTCCGGGAGCCAGGCTGGGCGGGCCTGGGGCTCCGGCTCTCAGAGGACAATCACAGACCTAGGCCCTTTCCTGGTGAGGAACTTCCCCGGCAAGCGAAGGCCCCTGGCTGACTCCGAGGCCCCGGAGCCGCCTCCCAGGCCGGAGGGAGCCGGAGGGAGCTAAGCACAGAAGTGAAAAGAACGACTTCCCGCGTCACCCAGCGTGGGATTGGATTCTTAGCTTGGGACAGTCCCCTAACCTCTCTCAGCCTGATCTCTCATCCGTGAAATGAGGAGCAGGACCCGGTCCCAGGGCGGCTGAGAGAATTACGTGAAGGTGACGGGTAAGCCCTCGGTGAATGTTGTTATCACAGCTCAAGAGGACCACGCAGCTGCTCCCTTTCATTTCTGAGTCTCCTTTCCTCATCCACAAACTACAGTCTCTTCCTCACGAGGTTGTGAGGATGAAATGGAGTGAAGGGTTTAAAGTACTAGCTTCACATTTACTGTCTTGTTGGGCTGGGTTTTTTTCTTCTTGTTTGTTTTTATATATTTTATTGATTTTTTACAGAGAGGAAGGAGAGGGATAGAGAGTTAGAAACATCGATGAGAGAGAAACATCGATCAACTGCCTCCTGCACACCCCCCACCGGGAATATGCCCGCAACCAAGGCACATGCCCTTGACCAGAATCGAAACTGGGACCCTTCAGTCTGCAGGCCAAGGCTCTATCCACTGAGCCAAACCAGTTAGGGCTGTTGGGCTGTTTTTGTTTTGTTAATCCTCATCTAAGGATACTTTTCCATTGGTTTTTAGAGGGAGTGAGAGAGAAAGTGAGAAACATCAATGTGAGAGAGACCCATCGATTGGTTGCCTCCCGCACACACCCCGACCGAGTTCCGTGCCCTTGACTAGACTCGAACCCGCCACCCTTCAGTCTGCAGGCCAAGGCTCTATCCAAGGAGCCAGACCAGCCAGGGGCATACTTCCTGTCTTGATCGTGTTAAATCATAACAGCAATCAATTCACACCTGCAGGTGAAGTGACATCCCCAGACATCTTCTCAATGACCTTTAGGGATGACGTTCCACCCTCCCAAATTCATTAGGACTTAAATTAAGGATCATTTAAAACAGCGACCCGGCCCTTGACTCCCGAGGCCCGGCTCTATTTCCCTTCGTGCAACACTTGTCTTTAACACACTATGCCATGTACACAGTGCATTCATTCCATATCATGTCTCCCTCCCCTCCATGCAAGCTCTCAGGGCAGGGTCCTTGGTTTTTGTTCATGGCCGAACCTCCGGCGCCCAGAGCAGCGCCTGGCACGGAGTGGGCGCTCGGACCCCGCCCAGCGTGTCCCCGTGGGAGCCCAGGCCTCACCGCGGGCTGCAGGTGCTGCAGTTTCTCCACGGCGGCCAGCGAGGCCACGAAGACGGCGGGCTGGCAGTGCGCGGTGCGGTCCAGGGCCTCCTGCGGCCCGCGCAGGCTCAGCTCCAGCAGGTCGTAGCCCAGCACGCGGCGCGCGGCGGCGTAGAGCTCGCGGACGCGCGGGTAGCGCAGCAGCCCGCGGCCCATGCCCACCACCTGGCTGCCCTGGCCCGGGAAGAGCAGCACCGAGCACTGGCCGGGCAGCCGCCGCGCCGCCGGCTCCCGGGGCTCCTCGTCCGCCGTGGTCGCATCTCGCAGCAGCTCGGCCACGTCCACGGCGCCCGGCGGAGGCGGCCGGAAGTTCGAGGCGCCGCGGCTGCCTCCCGCGCCCCAGCCCCAGGCCCCCAGGGCCCGCGCCACGCGGACGCTCATGCTGAGGACCCGGCCCCACGCGCGTTACCCGGGCGACCGACGTACGACTGCGGCGGCGCGGCGCGGCGCGGTCCCTGACGCATTTCCTCCCGGGCGGACCGGGCACCCGGGGCGGGAAGAAAGGTTCCGCAGTTCCTGGTTCCGGCCCCGCTCGCGACTCCACTGCTGCGTGCAGGCGTCTAGGGTGCCCGGTGCGCAACTTCAACCCCCACGGAAGAGACTAAAACGCGAGCCTGCACCACCATGAGCCCTAAAAGTATTTATTGACTAAACAGCACTGCGCAAAGCAATGGTCAGGCTTTCTACTGGCACCCGAAGGTGCTTGAAACGCCTCCATTCTTTGAGTACTTTCTTGATTCTCCCAGCAACACTGGGCGATAAGCAAGAGAACAGCTCTCTTTAATGTTTCCTACAAACCAGACACGGTGCATAGCCCCTAATAAACACCCAATAAATGTTTGTTCCACCGAACAAAGCCCTGGATATTTTTCAGACATTCGCTGATTTAATGTCTCACAGCTACACTCTGATGAATAGGCACTGTTATCCTCCATTTATGGGTGAGCAGACAAAGGCTCTAAGAGTAGGTGGCAGAAGAGGAATGGAAATTGGGGTCCCCTGGCTTCTGAGTGCTGGTGTGAGGCTGGGTCAAAGAGAGTCTATCTCCTGACCTCACCCTAATCCAGCGGTTCTCAACCTGTGGGTCGCGACCCCTTTGGGGATTGAACCACCCTTTCACAGGGGTCGCCTAAGACCATCGGAAAACACATATATAATTACATATTGTTTTTGTGATTAATCACTATGCTTTAATTATGTTCAATTTGTCACAATGAAATTGGGGGTCACCACAACATGAGGAACTGTATTAAAGGGTCGAGGAATTAGGAAGGTTGAGAACCACTGCCCTAATCACATACATACACCTCGCCCTTTGCTTCTCTCTCATTCCCTGCCAGGACACACACACACACACACACACACACACTCACTACACACTCACTACACACCTCATAATGAGGAAGATCAAAGTAGAATGTCAGCAAATCTTCAGTGAGTGTGTCCTGAGAATTAAAGCCCTAACTCTTGGGACATCGTGACAGCCTTGCTTTTGACAAAGAAAAAGTGGGAATAAGCTGTGTGCCCAACTAGAGGAGATGAGTGAAGTGAATTATGGCGAAGCTAATACAAGGCTGTGATCATAACAGACATGGAAGAGAGTTTCAGGTTGAGACAGGAATGGAGCCTCCAGAAGCCCATAAATCCCCAGCAAAGGGATCTTTTAAAGACATCAACCCACAGGGGCAGGGAGAACAGGAAAGGGGCCCCGCAACAGCATGTCTAAAGCCAGAAAGCCGGCAGACCAGTGTGACCTGACTTAGCGGCCCCCAGGCAGCCCAATCCCTCCGGCAGGGGAGCTGAGGACCAACCCTTATTCACACAACAGCCAAGTTTAGGAGCTGGTAGCACCGGCTGCTTCTAGATCTGAGGTGAAAGGCTAAAGTAGAGAGAACCATTTGGAGGTGTCTTTGAGGAACAGTTAGATCTTTGGATCCCCTCCTTCTCTCTAGCCACTGAGTGGTGCCCCCCCCCCATCCTAGCCAATATCCAGAGATGAGCTCTGGAAAGGGCTGGGCATGCCAGGGACTGCGGTGGATGTGGGTCCTCCGCCGAAACAGGTGGGCACTGAATGCTGAATGCAGAGACCGCCTCCAGTGTTCTCCCCACGGAGCTCCCAGAAGCCTGGAGCCAGACCCCGCCCCTCCAGCAAGGGCCTGGAGGACCTTGGGGAATCTGACCAGTTCAAGACGAAAATCCTGAAAAGACTGACAGTCCAGGAAGTTCCCAAATGGCCCACCAAGTTCAACTTAAAGTGAAGCTGAACCAACAAGTACCATCCACTGACTTATTCTCCTCCTTTTTTCTTTTCTAACCATGAGCAGCCATCGAAGATTCCCAGGCATCTGAGGAAATTACGAACAGAAAACAAAAACCGCATAGGATTCAGAGACGAAAGAAAACTACCGTTGAAGTAAGAGAAGACACTGTATCCATGAAAAAGGAACAGGAGGTTACAGTAAAAAAATAGCATTCAGAAAACAAAAAGTAATCCCTGGAAAGAAAAAGCAGGAGGGCGAACTTGAAGAACGCAAGAGAAGGCCAGGAAGAGAACGTTGAGGAAACCGCACAGAAGGTAAAGAAAGCAGAAAAGAACCAAACAGGAGAAGTAGGAGAGAAAAGGAAGTGAGAAGACAGCCAGGAGGTCCAGGGCATTGAGTCACTGGGGTTCCAGAAAGAGAAGTGAGAAACGGAGGGAAGGAAACCAGTGTTTTAATTTCTTTCTGGAAAATAAAGGGTATGCGTTTCCTGTGTGAATGGGCCCTGTGTGCTGGCATGACGGACGGAATTAGACGCACGGAGAGGAACATCAGTGTGAAATGTCAGGGCTTTGGAGGCAAAAATCTTAAAATCTCCCGGGAAGAACAAAATGGGTTGCATGCGAAGGCTTGAAGCACAGAATGGCCTCAGCCTTCTCATCAGCTCTGTGGCGGCTGGGAGGCCCCGTCTTCATGACGCTGAGGGACAAATGTCTCCACCTTTGAATTCTTAGCCAAGTGTCAATCAACCGGGTGCTCAATACATATGTCCCTCGAGGCTGGCACATACAAACGCCCAAGGACGCTCCCATGCTCAGTGCTGTGGAGTTCAGAGGTCACAGCCCACTTGGAGGGGAGGGGGCACAGAGTTGGGGTTCTGGAAGAGCTTCCTGGGTGACACTGGAGAGCAGTCAGACTTGGACACGTGGAGACACCCAGGGGGAGGGGATGGGGGAGTGGTGCTCAGGCAGGGGAACAGCATGTGCAAAGGCAGAGAGGCGGGAAGGGGTGGGTAGCCAGCCTGACCCCAGCTTGGCAGGGCCTTGAGTGCCAGGCACAAGGCTTGGGCTGGCTGCTGAGGCAGTGGGAGCCTCGGAGGGTTCTGATGGAGGAAGGGCGTGGAAGGGAGCCAGGGGCAACGAGGGCTGTGGCTGCTGCCCAGGTATAGGCAGACTGGCTGGTTGGAGAGGAGGGGGGCAGAAGTCACGGAGGCACACAGACAGAACAATGGACAGGCGCAGCTATACCCAGACCTCGGCGAGTCCTCGGAGCTGCAGGCTCCCACCTGAGAAAGGCTGTTAACTCCATGAGGGCAGGGCCTTGGGGGTTTGTGCCCAGCCCTCCCTCTGGCCTGACGTGCAGCAAGTAGTAGGGACAGCAGTCTCTGCCTCCCGGGTGCCCCGTGGGCCTGGAGCCTGCACACAGCAGGGGCGAGGCTGGAGGGAAGCCACACGCTTTCTCCCACGGGTCTTCCGGGGGAGGAAAGTGTGTCACTGGGCCAAGCCACGGGCACCTCTGCACAGGAGGGGGCGAGGCTGGCAGCTCCCGGAGGCTGGCCAGGCCGCCTTCACTGGTAGGAGGCACAGTGCCTAGGGCAAATACCTTCATTTCTTTTAAAACCTGAAGGAAAGGTGGGTGGAGTCTAGCCTGGATTTTACTTGCCATCATAGCAGTGCAGTCAAAGGTGGAAGGGCCCCGGGGACAAAAAAGCCAGGGCCCGGGAAAGTCGGACCTGGGCCCAGGAGGCCCCCGCTGAGCCCTGAGCCCGGGGAGAGGCGGTGCGGCCCACCTTCCCCCAGGACAGGATGGGCGCTGTGATCCTGCAGGCTCAGGGCTCTGCCAACCAGGTCGGCCCACGGGAACAGGCCCGGCTGCGGTGATAGAGCGTGCGAGATGGGGAGGGGTGCCCAGGCCCGGGCTGGGTGACCCTGGCAAACTGGGGGCCCCTCTGAGCTGTGACGCCTGCAGCCTCCATTCGCCGAGCACCACGGGCCTGCAAGGCCTGCATCACCAGGTGCGTCATTAGTCCCCCGCCTGCGCCCACCGTACAGACGAGGACATGGAGGCCCAGGAACCAGCCAGGGGGCTGTGCCAGGGGAGGGTGAGGCTGCCTCCTGCCCTGGGCAACAGCTAAAGGAGGGGGCTCCTCCGCAGACGGTGGGCCAGGCTGCTGTGTAGGTGGGGGTTCAGGTTTTGCCATCAAGCGACGCAGTTCCCCTCTCTGCGCGCCATCTCTGTTGACCCATTTCACAGACGGGAAAGATGAGGCTCTAGAGAAGCGACCTGGCTGCGCGGACCTGTGGGGAGGGGGAGCCCAGAGACCGGCCTGCGGGGACCTGTGGGGAGGGGAGCCCAGAGACCGGCTGGTGGCGGGGGAGGCAGAGCACGTCTCGCTGGCGCCGCCACTGGGGGGAGGGAGCTCCCCGCCCCGCCCG